TAGGAGAGTCCCAGCCATCTCCCTTATGAAATTGATCAAGCAAGTCTAGAACTTTTGGAGGCATAATGAAAATCATACCCACTGGTCTGATAAATATTATTAATTTCCAACGCATTTCGACATAGTCTGGTCATCATCAGGGATGTGCCTCATCGGAGTAAGGAGAGTGATTTTAATTTTAACATTTTACCGTCTGACCTGGTCTTGTGCCTTTTAACTTAATCATCATTTCAGAGACATGGCTTATCATGGGTGGTGGTAGCTACCTCTGAGAAAAGTCTAAAACACACAACTCCCTCATTCTGAGAATTGAGTTGTATTTCACAGGCATTAAGAGTAAACGCAGTCACTGATTCTGATGATTTTGGTGTCTCCAGACGCCTCTAAATTGGGGAGATTTGCGGTTTACACAGGAGCCATGATATGCTTCGATTTCCATGCTTCTCAGGGCCACAATGATGATTGATCCATGCTCCTATATCCTGTGAATTCAGCCACAACTTTTCACAAGTCTTTAAAGAAAGTGTAGTTCAAGTAATTTTTTTCGTACTGCCCTGGACAGCATTGTCATGTTGTATGAGTTATTAGACAATCAGCACGTTGAACCCAAAGTGGATTATTCAACATTTGGCTGTTTAGTTAGTAAATGAATTTGTGTTATATGGTGTTCTATTTTGATAAGATTTTTGTCAATGTTTTCTTCTGGAAGGTGTGGATGGCAATATAATTATTTATCTGTTGGATTTGATGCAAAAGTTTCTAGTAAAACATAATATTTGAAGAAACATAGGGAATAATAATATATACATTGTAAGTGATTAATGATGAACCACTTTATTTGTTTTTCTGTTTCTTTTTCCAGAATTCACCAGGCGATATCCACTCAGCGAGAGTTTCGCTCATTCAAAACCGGCTGAGCGAACACAAAGTTACAAAGAAACATGTAACATATGCAATAATTACTAGCCTAATATGTGAGTAACATTAAACCATTCATAGATTTTCAGAGAAGAAAATGTTTGATGAGGGCAGTTGCCCTTGATTCAATTTTTTTCCCAATGATGGGAGCTTTATTTCAAAAATGGGGTTTTTAATACAATGCAGCTTACTAGAAAACGGAGGTTAAGGCAAATGAATTATCACCGTCAAAAGAGGTGTTGGATTTACCATTCCTTCCCAATGACATGATAGAAAACTCTGTATTTATTTTGCTGGAGGCTGCTGTAGTAAGGAAAAACGCTAATTGAACATTCAATAGGTTACTAAATCCTTCCGATGAAATTTTTTTTTTTTTTTTTTTTGAGTGTCACAAATATTTTCTCTTGAACTTTTCAGGTATTAATTTAGATTGGACCATTTATATGTATTAAATTAAATTGTCACAAGAATTGGAAGAAAAATATTTACAAATTTCCCTGAAAATTAGTATTTTATTGGATGAAACTTGGCAATGCTTGAGACTCATGCAGCGTTCTTCCTCAGTTCGGTAGCATTACCACGGTGTGTGTGTTTGTAGGTGAAATGAAATTTAGGTTTATAGTTTTTTTATTTAACGAAAATTCAATGGCCAATTCATGACAGGTGCGCTGATGAATTTTTCCCATCATGAATTTTTGATCTATTTATTATTTTCTCGCTCCCCTTGCATGTAGAGAAAGTATTGTGATCCATAAAAGAAAACAAAATTTAAAAAATTAAAATTTCATCATTTTTATGAAGTTTTGGTCTATTTACATGGTACTCCCTATTGAGATCACCACACCCATCAGCTGAGTTTGAATTGGACTTCATTTTGAAAGTAGAAACTAAAATTTTAGGCATAGTTCTGAAATGGATTATGCACCATTAATTTTCTTTCGCATTAAAGTGTTTCTATGGATGAGCCAAACATTGTAGTTCCATGTTGCAAAATTGAGTCATACTTTTTTTATTGAATAAGGAAGGGTTTCAATTTACAATTTAATAAGAACTACTTTATGGCACTTATATTGCATTTGATACTATCCATTGAAAGTCTGATACTATCTATTGAAAGTCTGATACTATCTATTGGAAGTCTGATACTATCTATTGAAAGTCTGAGGTTAATGGAAGTAATTAATTTCTCTCCTTTTACCAAATAGATCCTCATGTTTTTTACATGTGATATTATGTTTCAGTAAATGGGAAATCAGATGAAGTAATCATCAATGAAATAGTGGGTCATGTTGCCCCGCCACCTCCCCCACCACCAGCAATTTATGGGGCAAGCCAGGTAGCACCCCCACCTCCTGGATATCCATCAACCTATCAATTATATGGAGGAAGCCAATATGGAGCAAGCCCAAGCTGGGCAGGGCCCCCCGCCTGGGGAGGTCAAGGATGGCCAAAGCCTCATGAATCACAGAAGACCATGCAGGTAACTTCAAATGAGATGTAACATAATTATTCTATTTCCACACTCGTCTGTTTGATTTCTCTTCTATCAGTAAATAATTAAATTAAATTCAATGGAACGTTCTGAATACTACTGTATGTAGGCAAATATAAGAAAATCAGAAAGTCTATATGCAAGGGGAAGTAGGGGTGGGATCAGAGAGAGAGAAAGAGTAAATTACCCTCTTAAGAGGCGGAAACTCTACATAACAATATGAGTAACTTGGGTGATAAGTTACGTTAAGTACAATATGCTTCTTCCAAACAGCCCAGTATGGATTTTTTTACATGTGTGGCAAGGCAGCAATCCACAATGAGAGTAAGTGATGGAAATTTCATGATTGGTTTTTGAAAATTGGTTCTTCAGCAGTAATGACAAATAATACTTAATTCTAGAAGAGCACCAAGTCCCACCTTCAAATTAGCAAGAATGAAGGAATGTTGGACTCCGATTTTTATCTTAACTGTATTTTTGAAAATAACTGTTATTTTAATCTCTATCTTTTTTGTTTTTTTTTTTCAGAATGACGCTACATCATTAAGAGATGTTGTTAAAGAAGAGTTTAGAGCTCTTTGGGCAGAGGTAAGAGTCATAACTGCATAGTTTTTAGGTGCAAAAAATATGTAGGAATGAGGTAAAGAAGGTAGGCGACTGAGGCATAAAACAAAAGTAGGTAGTTCCTGATTCCGAGTGGTTACATACTCTCGTACATGGTTCATTTGAGCATAAATGTCCAAATGTGTGTTTTCAAAATAATCTAACAGCTTTTGTAGAAGATACTTAAAAATTTTAGAAGCCGTTAGTAGAAAGTACTTCAAAACAGACGAATTTTAGAAGAAAAACATTGATCTTATTCTGCCGTGGTAAGGAAAAACGCTGTATGAACCTTCAGGCGTTGCCAAATGTCGTTTGCTGAAACACGAATTTTCTGGTAAACATAGGACTGTTTTTCTTCCAATTTTCTGGATAATTTTGTTCGCAATTTCATCTTAAGTTCCTGAAAATTTTAAGGATATATATTGCCTGAAAAATAAACATTTTATCTAAGGAAATTTGGCAACTCTCGAATGTTCATATGGCGTTCTTCCTTAGCACGGCGGTATTATATGGGTGTTCTTTTTATTTTGATTAATGGAACTGGAAAGAATCCTTGCAATGGCAAATTGAATGCAAGATACAGTATAAAGTTTAACAGGGAAGAACTTTGATCTGACTGGGATTGGCAATCACTAATTAAGTATGAATCATATTTTATCTGTTATCAGAGAGGAAAAGGCGTCATCAATTAAATTTTTAACTTTACAGTTTTCTTGTTTGCAGGAGAGGAAGGCCGAAAAAGAGAGACTGGACAGAGAGAGAACAGAAAGAGAAAGGAGAGAGAGAGATAGGAAAGAGAGAGATAGGAAGGAAAGAGAGAGGCAGGAGAGAAAGAGAAGGGAAGTTGAAAGAGCGCGTCAGGAAGAAGAAAGGAAGACCATGAAAGAAGCAGCTGAGAAAAAAGCCAAAGAAGAAGAAGAAAGGAAGACCATGAAAGAAGCGGCTGAGAAGAGAGCAAGAGACGAAGAAGAGAAGAAGATGAAGGAAGAAGCAGCTGAGAAGAGAGCAAGAGAGGAAGAAGAGAAGAAGATGAAGGAAGAAGCAGAGAAACGGGACCAAGTCTCTAAGGCCAAAAGGAGGAAGAAGGTAAGTTGAGTTTTGTCGTTAATATTTTTTTTGTCACAATGATGGATGAAGCAATTTGATTAATACTCTTTATTGCAGAGTAGGTACACTTGAAAGAATTTTTTAATTTCTCCCTCCCCTAGGGTAGAGGAAGTATTGTCATCCTGCAAGGGGGGGGGGGGTCTAAATTTCATCATTTCTAAACGTTTTTTCCCTTGCCATTCATCATACGATGTCACGTGAGCTGAATTTGAGAGAGGAAATAAAATTGGGTGCTTTTAGAAGCAAATATGATCGTGAGAGAAGAAAAGATTAGGCAATCGTGTCAACTCATAAAGCAATTTTTCCCCCTTGAATTTCTGCATCATACTTTTCGAATGAAAGTCCTTTTTGAGGGAAAGGCTGTATTAAAAAAAATATTAAACTGCAAGGAAAAGGAAAAAGGCCTTGCAACAGGTGAAGAGAAGCAGCAGCCACGACGGTGACAATTTTTAGTTTTGAACAGCACGGAAATAGACTTGCACTCTGGCATTTATGGCTCTCTTTTTCGTCTTACAATTTTTGGTGTCAATCAATAGCTCAGCCATGAATTTTTTCAATTACCTGGGCGTGAACAGTTGCAAAATTACAAACAAATTTAATTTATTCCAGCTTTCTAAAGAAATTCCGGCGGGAGAATGGGTCTTTCATTCTATTCTACACTCTGCGAGTCAATATCATCGTAAGTAAGAAAAAGTGATGTAAAGATTTCAGGCTTTGCATTACTCTTATTATGAATGGAGTGGGTTAAAGGCTTGCAATGCTAATGCTGTAAATATTTTCGTTTTTTTCATTTTGAGTTGGTGAATTGCTTTTTGTTCACAATTTTTTAACCCTTGGTTGGTTGTTTGATCGTTTGATTTGACTCTTTTTCACAAGTTTCCTCTAGCTTACCCTGGAGTTGTAGCAGTGATGAGGTGTTTAGTTTAAAATATATAATATAGCAAGAGTGGCTTCATCAATATCTTGCATATCGGTGGATTCCAACTGGTTCTAGATACAATGGAATTCCAACTGGGGTGAGCTGTATAATATCAGAGTGGCTTCTTTGCTAACTAGTAATTAATTTATTGCCTGCGTTTTATTTTCTCCCATCATCAATTTTTCTAAAGGATTTTCTTGATTCTCTTAATTCGCACGCTTCGTAAGTTGTTGGTTTGGTTGTATTATTTCGATTTTTTTTCATTTCCTATATTTTTAGGAAACAGCTTTCTCCTTCTTCCCTTAATATGTCTCTTCCATATTAAGCCTGATAATGTAGGGATCTACAGGTAATTTAGGTGTGAAAAGGCAGTTGTACGGATGTGAAGGAAGTAAGTCATACCTACTTACTGACTTTTTCCTATTTCACAAAGTGAGATACAACATTGATAATTAGCTGCTCTACCTTGCTGGGCCCGGGTGAGTATCGTCACCTAGAACCTGTCTATTTGAATACTTTTTTGGATTATTCTTTAGTCTCTTGTGGTGGAATCTTGATCAATCCAATCGCAACATAAAACCTCCAGGTGGAAATTTTGACCTGGGGTATTTTAGTTGTATGAATATATTCTTCAGCTACGCTTGATATTAAATCGCTTTGGAAATTATACATACTCATTGTAAATATTCTTTAGATCTTTATAGATAATTTCTAAAAATTTTCGCTTGCTCTTTTCTTAAAAAAGTATTGTTGATAATTTAACTAAGGTTTTTATTTGTGATGTTTTTTTGTTCCAGGGTGCTCGCAGATGATTCTTCTCGTTTAATCTCTAAAATATTCTTTAATGTATTTTTTATAAACATATAAATAAAATATATATATAATTTACCTTCGTCTTTTTGATTTGATGACTTTCTATTTCTAAAATGATAGTAAATAAATAAATATTTTTTTCTTTTCTCATCATGACGAGGTGATGATTTCAAGAGGATTTCTCACCTGGATGGATAAACTTTCGAAGTGGGTGAACTATTTAGGCAAAGGACTCGGATAATCATCAACATGGGAGCCTCTTGTATTATAGGATAAGATAGGACATTTCTATATCGTTGTGTTGTGTCATTTGCACGGTAGGCCAGTAAAACCGAGTTTAAAGTTATAACAACACCTATACTTAAGAATGATTTTTTTATATCCTACATCATGTGACAATTATCTTATGATTATATCAAGCTAATGTTAGAATGCAAACTAAATTCTACAGCTCAATGCAGATAAGTTAATTATGTAGCGTTCCATCATTTTCGCTGCGTATAGGCAGCCAGCAAGTCCGGCAAACATTCAATGCATGTTATTATCTCTCATCAAGACAGTGACAAAGTAAGTAGGTCATCAATCTTTATTTTCTGTTTTATAATAATGAGAGATGTCTTTCAAGCTCTGGCATCCATTATCCTCAGAAATGGGAGCAGTTTTCTCTTTATCCAAGAAGATAGTTAGTAGATGCTAATGCTGCAGCAGCTAAAAATTTTACTCGCAATGACCAAACTTTTTAGCTGCCGCAGTCTCGAATACTATAGATCATATTAATTCACCAATTCTGGTCGCAGAGAGTTGGCATTGAATAAGAGAGAATCAATACTTGTAGTTATTTTTAGTGTTAAAATAAAACAGCTGCTTTCCTGTTGCACTCACATAGTGAGTAATCCTGTTGTGCGAGGACTTGGACAATCAAGAGGTCAGGAGTGAATTGGTATCTTGCTCTTAATTTTATTAAACCCATGAATTAGCAGTATAGATAGATACATACTTACCTTCTGCAGAGGTCAATATGAGAGACCTTTATTTGAAGAATTTTATCCAAACTCAGGCAAATTTGATGATTCAATCAACTTCTGACACAGAATCGAAGAGGCTTTCTAATAATCTCAAATTAACGGTAATGTTTGAAGTCAAGTATCTTCGATTTTGTGGCATTGAGTTGGTTTCATTATACCAGAACAACCAAGGGCAATAACAGAGTGAAATGTAGCTTCTTTAAGTAGACACGTACGCCTGACTGAGGGGTGAATGTGTAAACCAGTTTTCCAATTTAAAGCATTCCGAGTATATAATAATATTAATCGAAAATGGCTTGAGGCTACTAAGAGGCTAAAAAATCCATCAATGTCATAGATCCCAAGCTGTCCTAAATATCTGTGAAGCTTTACCTTAAAATTGATTTCTCCTTTTCCCGTTTTCACATAAAATTCGGCAGTTTTTCAAAAAATGTATGACCCTTCCGAAGATAGCTCCCCGGAAGGTTACTACTTATGGCATTCCGGGTGTCATAAGAATGCTTAGAAGAGAGGCCATTGGTAGACTGGGAATAAGACATAGTGTTTCACTGCTTTTGCTATAATCAGTGCCGGTCATCAAGTCTATGAAAACATTAAGACTTCTTGCACCAGCAGCATGATACACTAAGAAGAGACACATCAACTCCAGAGGAGTTCGGCTGCTAGCAAAGATTTAGGAGAAAGTGGAAATGGAACTTCATCCCTAGAAATAAAGTAGTATAGATACATACCTTCTGGAGAAGTCAATATGAAAGACGTTGATTTGAAGAATTTTATCCAAATACAGGCAAATTAGACGATTCAATCAACTTCTGACACAGAATCAAAGAGGCTTGCTAATAATCACATTCATCATGTTTGAAGCAAAGTATCTTCGATTTTGTGGCATTGAGTTGGTTTCATTTTACCAGAGCAACAAAGGGCAATAGCAGAGTGAACGTAGCTTCTTTAAGTAGACACATGACTTTGGCTGACGGGTGAATGCGCTAGCCAGTTTTCCAATGTAAAGCATTACAAGTCTACGAAAACATTGAAGCCTTATGCACCAGTAGCATGATACACTGAGAGAAGACACGTCAAATCAAGAGGAGGTAGGCTGATAACAATTTTATTAGAATGACTTTCAGTTGACTCCTCATTCACCATGGATTGAGACCTCGATAGACTTCATCGTAATGAGAGAAAGAATGATCTGCTAGGAACAATTCCTGAGTTTGAGTAAAGAGAGGTAGTCTCTAGGACTTACTTCAATGGGATATAATAATGTATCATCCATAAACAATCACTTAAAGAGTTCACTAAGATTAGTGCCGCTGGGTAGATATGGCTGATCGGTCTGAGTACTTAACTTGCCAACTAATTTAAACAAGGGTGCGGGAATCATAAAAAGATTACATACGTAGAAGCGAATTCACTTATTTTCGGCTGTAATAAAATAGAAACGCGCATCGATTTATGCTTCTCATTCTTAGTAAAAAAAATAATGATTAACCATAGTGACATAAAATTCCAACCTAACCTAAAATTCTGTTTCTGGAGTCGGCACTCACCATCCATCGCGCGGTTCTACGAGTTGTTTTCAAATTCAAATTTTTTGTGAAGA